CGTTAGTTTCATTTATTAATTAAAGATACATGATGGATTATAAATAACACGATGATAGAAAAATTAAAATAGTCTCCACTTCGCTCGATTAAAATGAACTTTAAATGAGAAAAATACATGTGTAGCACTGTGAGATAATTTTTCAGTTGTCACCGGAGAGAATAAATAGAAGAAATCAAAACGAACTTTATGAATGATATGACACAGATTTACATAGAGTAAATTTTCATGATTAGTTAGTTTAAATGTTGAAATTATTACATCAACACTACACATCTCTATTCATGTTTAAAAATTACAACCGTTGATTTTTAACCTACCTAATTCTGAAAATTTACTCTATGTAAATCAATACAATATCATTCATAAAGCTTGTTTTAATTTGTTTTTTTTTGATTCTCTTATGTAGCAAATGAAAATTATCTTAGAACTCCTCATATATGTATTTTTTTAGTTGATAAAAAGTCAAATTTCTTTAATGAAGTCAACATTAGTATGTAATACCAGAGCTGAGCAAGAGTATGATTATTACCACAGTTGTACTCAAAGGTAAGTTTATATTTCAGAGGAAGCAATTGTCCACTACATCTCCATTCAATTTGATCCGATCGCTTACTATTGTCACTTTGATATTAATGTGAAGGGTAGCTAACCTACTTTAATTTCTAGATAAATAGATATACAGCTAAATTTAAGCTGTAAAGTCTTCGGAAATAAATTGCTCGAAAATATCTTGGACATAATATGTAGTCACTGAACATGAATAATTTAAGAAACTCCTGTATTGACTTTTAAAACTCAAAAAACCTAGAAGAAATGTACGTTATACCGTCTCAATCGTGGTGATCAACAAATCACATTCGACAAAATAAACACAATGTCCATATATTTCATTGAAATATTCGCATAGGTGATAGCACTGGATTTGTTAATTGATCACTTTTGTGCATGAGTGCCTTCAGTCTTGCATTATCATAGGAAAGAATCTCTTTTGTCTAAAACCTCGAGTACAAGTACGCCTCATACCTGCTTGACTCTATTTAATACTAGTATTTGTTTGCATTGTTCGTACGAAACAAAAGCTTTGAAATAACTGAAGCGCAAAATATTTCTGTTGTTGTTATTGCAGTATTATTTATGGCTCACCCTATATAACAATCTGCAGAATTAGAAAAGCCTTTTTTTTATTTTTAGAAAATGTTTGCTCGTACAACTATTTTCTTTTTTGAATAACTCTATCTAAGTTGTCAATTATTTACTATGCACTCTGTGTAATTGATGGTATATTCTTATATTTTAATTACTAAAAAAAAAGACTGAGTGTTTCACTTAAAAGTAGAATAGAAAAAAGAAATTACATGATAATCAATTAAATCGAATTCTTTGCAATATGAAAATTTCTTCCGTATTAAACAGAAATAAAATAGACATGTGTTAGATTTCTTATTTTTAATTTTGAGTAAATAAAAAAAATCCTCAATAGTGCCGAGCATTTGACAGCATTTATTAAAATGTAGAAATCATTTTAACTTTAATCGTCATTGATTTTTACGAAAGAGATTTAGATCAGACACGTTTGGGATAAGACAAATTAATTATAGAAAAGTCGAAATTAAGTTCAATGTTTTATTATCATTTAATTTTTTTGTTTTAGCGATTTCGTTTTTGTGGTGGTGAAGATTGTGCTGATTGGATATTGGCAGAAATATTTACATTATCAAAATTAGTAAAATTATCTTTTTTGTTTTTTTATATTCTATTAAAATCATATAAAATTTTTTGTTTTATTTTTAGAGTTCAGTTAAATTAAAATTATTATGTCAACAAGTAATACAAGCAATATTAACAGATAATTTAAATGTAAAATTTCAAATTAGATTTTTATTTTTATCATTTGTCCTATTCTATTTTTCAGTTAAGTGAAGCACAAAAATTAGTTGGTGATAAATTCGGTAAGGATGTAAAATTTAGTTTTTTTTTTGTTTTTTGTGATAATTTATATGATTATTAAAATTAGAAAGTGGTGATTTAAAAGCATCAATTCGTGCTTTACAATATATTCTTACTATGTCGGCAAAACATTCTGTTGATGGACAGTCATTATTAAATGAACTTACACAACTCGGTTTTCCCAAAGGTTTTTTAATAATATTAATTTCAATATTTAGTTTTCTTTTTCTCTTTATTTTTCAGAACATGCTAATGGTTTAGTGAAAGTATATGATGAAAATTTTGAAAAATTAATTGATAAATTACGATCATCTGTGATGCGATGTAAGTTTTTATTTTAATAGGATGCGAAAGTCTTTGTACAAAATATTCACTCATTTTCCAACCACTAAAAGACAATTTTTTTTTCGTTGTGTCCAGATCTATGTTCAGATTTTCATTTTGAGATCAGATTGACTATCTATCAGTAAATTTTGTAATAAAAGTCAAAAACTATGTCTGTACAAAACAAAATAGCAGTTTCGATAGAGTTCTGAGTTTGTATCTTGGGACAGCTTCAACTTAACATTATTGTAGAGCACTGAATTCTGTACAATATGACAGCAGTGGACAATAAATCGATCGGTGAGATAAATACTCATTTCAAGCGGAAAAATGCCATCCAGATCGAAAATGAATCTTCTTTCCATTGTGCTCATATAGGACGTCCGTCATATACATATATGCATATGTGTACACATTTCATTCGTATTACATTATTCTATGCATTTTTCCGCCGGATAACTATATTTATGTATGTATACATATAGTGCAGTGTCTAAGAATTTTTCCTATCGACAAATCATTTCATTTTTCCCATAGGAATGTCCATTATTATTATGAATTTTCATTTTTCTGCTGGGTAACTATATCTATATCTAAATATAGAGATACAGTATAGTATCGAAGAATTTTTCCTATAGGGGAATTATCTTTTCATTTTTCGATATAGTTTTTCCGATAGTAATGTTCATTTTTTCGATGAATAAGTGTCTTTACGAAGAAATAGTTATCTTGAAAGTTTTTCAATAAGTGAAATCAATTTCCGTTAGTCGATGTCATGTTTCCTGTAGCTTTTTCAAGTATTATATGAATTGCAGTTTTAACTGTTCGATAAGTTTTTGCTGTTGCGACTTTATTCAGAGAAGCATTTTTCACTTGCACGTCAAATGTCCGGTGAAAATTAACATTTTTCACACCGATCGAATCGTTGGCCAATCCTCACACGTAGAAGCTATGACTGAACATATTCATGTAAAAGTAATGGTAGACATCATTTTTCTAATGCTTATGAAATTAATCCATTTTTCTTTGTACATTTTCCTCATATTATTATTCATTTTTCTTATCGATTTTTGTTATTTCTGCACTTAGCACGTATGAGTCAACATATACGTATACAAGTAATAATACACATGATTTTTCTAACGCTTACGAAATCATTGGATTTTTCCTTGTACATTTTTTCTTTTAGTATTATGTATTTTTCTGATTGATTTTTATTTTTCCTGTAGTTAGAAGCTATGAATGAACAGATACGTATAAAAGCAATACTATACATCATTTTTGTAGTGCGGAGTGTTTAGTGGTAGACTATTTTTGACGTCGGTATCATTTTTCCGCTGCAATGTAGCATTTATGTCACCAATGAATCGAGTGTCCCAGGGTTGTAACCGGTCAAAAAAATTCAGACCGGCCCGGCCTGACCGGTTTAAACCTTAGACCGGCCCGGCCCGGCCGGTCTGAAAAAATTTCTAGACCGGCAAAAACCGGCAGACGTATGAGTTTTCTTTACATGATAAAACTAGTTCTAGCCATAGACCTTTTATCTATAAATTGATTTTTACACTTTCCTTTTCATATATATTATCATTTTCATAGCAAAAAAATAAAACAAACTTCTACGATTGAATACGTTCTGGACAAAATAAACTTCTTTTCTGCTAAAGCTGATAATTGATTTAAATTTCTTTTTTTATTATATACGAAATTTACACAAAAAATATATCATAGCGATACATATTAAATTAACAAACTAATGTGACACATAAATACATATAAACAAAAGTGCGTATATCTATATGCACAATGAGCTTGACGGCCTACTCTCTTTTTAATTAATTTAATCCATCATGTGTCGGCATGTTAACAAGAATTGAATTATTATTAAAAGGAATACTCAAAAAAGAATAATAATCAATATGTGACACTGCTCTGATTATTAAGATGTTGTAAATAGGAGATAATAGAAATCTTTTAAGAAGAAACTTAATGTTGAGAAAAATTTGAATTTACATCGAAAAATAAAGCTCTTGTTCTTTTCATTTCAAAAATTGTAATGAACAGAAATAAATACTATTATCTAATTAAAAAATTAATAATTAAACAACTTTTTCAAACCGGCAATAACCGATAAAAACCGGCCGGTCTAGCTGTTCTAACCGGCCCGGCCCGGCACCGGTCCGAATCGGCCGGTCCAGGCCGGTTTCGCCGGGCCGGTTACAACTCTGGAGTGTCCAACCCTCAACCAGCTCTGAGAAATGATTGAATATTTTGTGTCATAGATTATATTAAACTTTTATTTATTTATTTATTTATTTATTTTGTAGTCACGAAAATGAATGATATTCAATGGAATGTATTTGATATACAAACAACTAATAATTTACATGATATGCATTTACCTGTTGTAACAATGAATTTAAATTATGATGACAAAATAGAGAATCAATCAAAATCAATTTCATTTTCAATGAATGCAGAACAATTTGCTGTTTTATTAACTGGTAGAATTTTTATTTATAAAAAAAAAATTTTTTTTTTTGCTTATATATTTATTTAGATTTACAAGCTGCACGAGATTTAATAAAAACTTATTCAAAATCTTGATAAAATCTAATTATGTTTTTCTTTTTATATTTGATTCTTTTTTTAAATAAGAAATATTAGAAATTATGTGATTGAATATTTTTTTTTTTGTATTCTTTTTTTTATTCTTGATTTAAAATAGAATGTGCAATAATGTGATTATTTTATTCTTCTTATTATTATTAACAAAATCCGGTGAAACTTTTCGGTAGGTTCAGAATAATAATAATAATAATAATTAATAAAATGAATGTTTATTTTTAAAAGACTTTTTTCTTCGGGTGCTGGAACATACAAAGAAGCACGTCCATTTTTTGTTTCGTCGAAAAATCTTATTAATGATTATTTTGATGGCGATTTAACACATGTTTTTCAAACAATTAATTCTCATACATTTGTTTTTGTTATGTATTATGCACGTATGTATTTTGATGCATATTAAAAAAACGATAATATCTGTAATAGGAGATAATGAACTAGTAAAAAGACAGTTGCATGGTTCCGTAGGATCATAATCTTATAACTATTTAAGTAATCAAAATTTTTCTAACAACAAAAGATCTTCAAGTGTGCAGTATTGTTTTGAATTGAATATATGTATTGGATTGTAGAACTTGATTAGACTAGCAAGAATTTCAAACTATTCGAATACTAGTTATGATTATATTTTCTTATTTTCTTATTAATAGATTTCTGTGGTATTAGTCGACGAATGCGTGAACCATTTGAAAAAGCAGCTGCTTTCTATCTAGAACGTATTCCTCATGGTAATACTACATTAGATAAATTTCATGTATGTTTATACTTAAAAAATGCTTAAATAAATTTTTTATTTTTTTTTTGTTAAGGTTAAATTTGTTGCAGTTGATTGTTTTTATCATACTGGTCAATGTCGAAAATCTTATAAACTTGATTATTATCCTCATATGTATTTATATATAAAAGGTACACGAGGTTATCAATATTTTGGACCAACAATAACATCAAATCTTATTGAATTTATTGAAAAAATTCGAATGCCTGTAATAAGAATTACGAATATAGATGAATTTTTAGATTTTATTGTTCAACATGAAGTAATAGAATATAATTTTTCACATTGAAAAATATTTAATTAATATTCTTCTTAGTCTAATGTTTTAGCTCATTTTGATTTTTCTAATAATTTACAAAGACAATATTATTCATTTTTTGTTCAAGCAGCTCTTAAACATATTGAATATGGTATATGATTTATTTTGTTTAATAACGTGTAGATAAGATGTTTATTCACTTTTGATACACTGAAATCAAAATCTATGAGTTAAGATGGTCTCGAGATTACGAACAACACTTTTTCATTGAAAGTGATATCTTCTATGATCGTGTAAAACTCACAACTCATGTCTTCTAAAAGGTTACACAAAAATTATTCAGTACCGATTACTTCAATATTTGTTGTTACAATTTTGATAGTAAAATTAATATATATTTTTTCGTTGACAACAATTTTGTCAAACACATAAAAGTGCAGAATAGACAAAGTATTAGTGAATTAAAAGAAGTAATGAATCTTCAAGAGGAAGGAAATTAGTAGTCGTACAAGATGTCTTGAACTCATTGACATTGCTAGTAAAAAACCTCACAATTTTTGCTAGTGTATGTGTATTATTAAGCGCGAAACTAGGACCGACATTAAAGACGATTGGTCCCGCTCGTCACCAGTTAAGATCAGAATTTTGTACGCTTTTCTAATATTTACTTAGAAATTTTGTTTCGACTTTCGTTCAAGAGTAATGAAGGACTTTCTGAAAGATTCGAAAAAAAAATATTTTTAATGGTGAGCCAATAGATTTTTGTTTATTCTGTAAACCCCTTTTTGAACATCCTAAAAACTGTCGGTCGTTTTGCAGAGCCAACATTTCTCTACAACATGTAATATTAAACTAACAAGAGAACTACTTTTGCCTATTTCAATGATTGTTTTTTGCCTAAGAAATACTACATAGTGTTCTAATAAAAACCCTCAAAAGATTTGGATTTGATTAAACAATCGAATTTTTTTTCTAGAGACCCAAATTTCCGGAAATCTCGTACTTCCGAATTTCCATCTGAAACTTTACACATAGAAAGAACTCAATTAGATTAGTTTCTATAAAAAGAATCAAAAAGTTTGAATAAAGTTTCTTTGAAGTATATACAACAAACATTTTTTGAAAGCTTTATATCTTGAAGAGGCTTTGTTCAAAATTTCTGAATTTATTTTATGGAAGTAGAACATCATGTAGTATCTATAGATAAAAAAAACTATTGAAATTGGAAAGGTATTCTTTTGTTAGTTCAATATCGCATTTTGTAGAGAAATATCTGCTCTACAAAACAATCGAGACACAACATTTATTCAAAAGAAAGTGTAAAATTCTGGTTCTAACTCATACCTTTTGAATATTTTCTAACAAATCAAAAGTGAACAAACATCTTGTTTAAAAATTTTTCGATCACTTGTTATGAAGTTTTTTTCTTTTTTTCATTTATTGTAATAGATAATGAACATCCGATTCGTTTTGCTGTTATTCTTAATCAAACTGTTATTGAAGAATTATCAAATTTATTTAATAATACTTTTCCAGAATCATTTATTATTTTAAATCGATTAAATTCAACACCACAGGTTAGAAAAAAAAGCCATCTTTCTTTTTCCTGTTTGATATTAATTTTTATTCAAAAAAAAAAAAAAAACTAATAATAATAACAGATATTTCCAAATATGACAAATAATTTTACAATCGAAAATCTTTTTCAATGGATTGTTAATGAATATGTAAGTTTTTAGAATTTATTTTTTATAAAAATTTTTAAATATTTATTATTTATAGAAAAAACCATATGTCGGTTGGATTGTTCCAAAAGATCGTTATTATTCTCGAAGTCCATCAATTGATAAAGCAACTATATTCGATGCATTGACAAATCATGATAATCTTCTTATCTTTCTTACTTCAAACAAATTAGACGAGTTAAAAGTAAGCAAAATTAATGTACAAAAAAAAAAGTGTATAATAGAGAGTCTTGTATATTCAGCATAGACAGCGCAGTGCATATCTATTGAAGACTAAAATCAGACTGAGTCACAATGACATTATACGTATTAATTTAATTCAATTTTCATTCTATAGAATCGTTAATATCAATCCACATGAGACCATACATCATTTATAAACCGTTATTAATATAATAATAATTTTTAATGACGATACGACGAAACAAAAAGGTTCGCTTAGATAGATAATATGAATAGAAATCATTAATGTGTATAAAATATTCATTTGATTATTTTCATGCATGCTTTATTTTCTATGATATTATGAAAATATTATATTAGTTTCGAAAACCAGTCATTGAATCTATAGATATCAGTCTTGATGATAAAAACTAAATTTAGATCGAAAATACAAAAATAAGTGGTTCTACTTATGTCTCATAAAACTCAATTGCTATTTATTGAATATTATTATTAATTTTTAGTTACGATATATTTATTTCTATCTGTCCAATTGTAATATAATTCATTCTACTCTTTGGTTAAAACAAATTGAAAAATTATATAATCAATCATTAATTAATTTAAATGAACATATAAGTAAAACACAACATAATCTTCTTTCATCATGTTGTCAATATGTTTTAAATCAAATATCTTCAGTTGATATATATCATCTATGTTTATTAAATCAACAATTACCATTATTAAATTTTTCTGAAATAAAAACAAAAAAATGTTTACCTATATTAAATAATCTTCAATTAAAAAAAATTTGTTATCAAAATTATTGTCATCAATGGTTAAAAACATATGCATCAATATATCAACAAAAATTATATTATAATCATGAAATTATTTTACAAAAACGACGAAATAAATTTTATGATCAATCTATTGATATACAAAATCAATTTATTAATAATAATAATAATAATAATAATAATAATAATTCAATAGAAAAATTTCAAGGATTATTATGTCAAATGAATTTAACATGGACATTTCGATTGATTAATTCAAAATATTATCCAAATTTTGGACAAAATATTGGTATGATTAATAATTCAAGAGCTATTATTGTATTACAAACAAAAGTAAGAAATATATTGAAATCTTCATTAACGTCAGAAAACAGATAGAGTTTAGCCTATAGCATTTTCTATATTGAGAAAACATTGAAATCTTTAAATTTAAAAAATAATTCATCAGATTATTTTCTCTTTATATTGAAACATTATGCCAACGGTTGAATAAAAACTTTAAAAAACATACAAAAAATTTTCATACAAAAATACACTTCTCATTTTTCGATTGCAGCTTTAATTTCGATAATGTAGTATTTTCATTATATTATTGTCAATGAATTCATTTTCAATTTTTTAGTTTATGTAGAATAACTTTGACATGACATATATACATTTATTATTAATATCTCGATTGTCTAACAGATTATAGTAAGAAAGTGAGAGAGAGAGAGAGATAAGGATAATACTATAGGATCAGTCGTTAAAAGTTGCTACTTATCGTAGATTAATCAATATACTTATCAGAATAAGTCGAATACTCTTGACAGTGAAAGATTTTTCTCAGAAATCTGTGTAAATTAAGTTGAATATGAGTAATGATTTCTTGTTCGGACAAAAAGTGTGATTCAAAGTTATCAACATATTTTTCTTTTATTCGATAATAACTAATCAAAAAAAATGAATTTTTAATGAAGAAATATTATTATACAAATGCCTTTCCGGAATAGAAGATGCTGAGTTTTCTATTATATCCCAACGTAGAAATTTTTTTCTTCTGCAGTAGGGGATCGTGCATTGTGTTGCATTTATTTATATGATTTTTATATAGAAGAATTTTTTAAACTTGAGGATTTGGGAAGACATTGTTCGAGTTCAAAATTAGGTATAAATTAAAGTTTTGATTATACAAGAAATTAAATAATTGCAAGAAATTTTATATTACGTTCAACGTATTGTTTCTTCAAGTGGATACTTTTCTATTGCGAAGAAAGATTTGAGTAAAAGATTTAAATTTTTCTTCAACAGTTGTATTGCTTATCATTGTTTATTTAAATTTATATTGATATAAAAGAAAATGACGCATTTGAATAATAACTCCCTGGATATTATTATCTCTCTTTTTTTTTGTGTATTTCTTATCATAAAAAGTCTCTTGATTGAAAAAAAGAAGACAAGAAAAAATATCTTATTATTGTTATTATTATTAATTAATACAATATTTAAAATTTTATTCAACTGTAGAAAAATTATTGTTATCTTATTATACTATTAATATTTAAAATAAATCTATTATTATTTTTCTTTTATTAGAATGAACAACATTATATTTTAAATAATAATGAAATAACAACTGAAAATATCTGTATGTAAGTTTAAAAATAGAAATAAAAATCTTTTAATAATCATATTCTTTTTATTTCAGATAATCTTATTTATAATGTATCACATAATTTACAATCTCGTTCATTAGCTACAATTCCAATTAATAATATAAACATAGAACATTCCAATAGATTTATTGAACTTACTACTGATACATTTCATTCCATTGTTTTAAATACAGATAAAGTAAGAAATTTAAAAACAACCTGATTTAATAATGTTTTATCGCGGAAAAAAATTCAAATAACTTTTAGCATGTACTCGTTGTTTACTATACGAAATGGTGTGGATTTTGTCAATCAATATGGCCAATACTATATCAAACAAAAAGATTCTTTAGTAAATTCGATGATCTTGTTTTTACTAGGTTAGATAGAATCATTTATATATAATTATACTAGTATTATATATATATATATATTTTTTTTATTCTATTAGAATTCAAGCTGACAAACATGATCTTCCATGGCATTTAACAGTATATAATTATCCAACATTAATTTTGTTTCCTGCACAGAAGTTTGTTTTTTATTTTTTTTCGTATTAATTGTAATTATTATTTTATTTTGTATTGTTTTTTTTTAATAGCAAATATGATTCAATTGTTTTTCCGACATCAACAGAATCGATCACGAATGTTAGCATAATAAAATTTCTTCTTCATCATCTTTATATTGATGACAATGTCAATGAACATTGGTGTCAACAGACAAATAATAGTTTTTTATCAATGTTATCATCAACTTATATTGACTTTTCTCAATTATCTTATTTAGTTAAATCATTTTCTTGAATATTTTGTTTTTTTTCTTTCTGTTATTGCATAAAAACAAAAATGCAAGTTATTATTTCATTTCTTTTCTTTTTCCTTTTTGTTTTTCATTGCTATCCAAAGGCAAAACGAAGATGATCGATAGTTAGTGGGGGAAAAAAAAGAGAAAGAAATATTTCTTCCTATTTGCTTAGTTTGCAACCGCTATAGATCAATTCAAATGTTGAAAACACAGAATAACAATGAATAGAAAGAGTTATATGGGCTTGACTAAGCAAGAAAGAAAAGAACAAAAAAATTGTCTGACTCGTGATAGTGTTTGTGCTTTCTTTCTGCTTTTTGAGCTGACGATCAATATTTGAGTAAGTTAGCAATGTGCCGCGCATGTAAAAGAGAAAGCCACTTATATATATGATTCGAAGGTCTCTATTTTATCGTTGTCATCTTGTCTATTTAAACTATTATTATATAAAGAACAAAACAGTAAGAAACACATGTTTTTTCTTTTTCTGTTATTTTTTTTTTTATTGATAAAGACTTGCCTAGATTAAATGAGACTATAACTGATGTTATATAGAGTATAAAAGAGAGTATTCTTTATTGAGGGTTTAATCGTACGACAATGTGGTTGTGCATGGTTGTGCCCTTCGTTGGTAACCGTTTGTATTTTCAACTACCGTCGTTATTCTGATTCTTTTTTCTGTGACAGAAAAAAGAAACAGCAACTAGGGTAACACGAGGTGTTTTTTTTTTCTTCTCCGTCTTCTTGTCGTGATTAATGCAAGTGTTTATTTGCCAGATGCATAAGAGGAATAGAATAGCACTCCCTCAATTTGAATTCTTTCTCTCTAACAGATAGAAATAAGTCTTGTATTCAAGCAAAGATAAATGTTACCGATAAATATCTAATGACCTTTAAGAGTGAACAAAATCAATGATATATTTGAGGACATTTTTTTAAAAGTAGATCATAATAAATTTGCGTCTTTTTATGAGTTATATTGACAATTGATAAACAGCATACATATGTTGTCGTCGTTTTTTTTTTATTATTATTTACATTTCTATTTGTTTTATATAATTTCAAATATTATCTATTTTTAGATATTTCAAACATCATTTTGTGTATTCATATTTTCCATATTTTACAAGTCAAATGTCTTCACCAACATTAATAGATAATTCCATTACAAATAATACAATAATTTGGGATAAATCATCATTACCAGATAAAATTCAAACATTCGATGAATATAAAAGTTTATATACATTATCAATTGAAGATCCAAATCGTTTTTGGAAAATGGCAGCTGAACGTTTAAATTGGTATCATTTTCCAACGAAAATAAAAAATACTGAATTTGATTATCGTACAGAACGTGGTGTTGATATAAAATGGTTTGAAGATGGAATAATAAATGTTTGTTATAATTGTCTTGATCGACATATTGAAAAAGATCCAAATATAGCTAATCAAATAGCTCTTATATTTGAACCAGATATACCAACAGATACTCATCATCATATAACATATGGTGAACTTTTATGCAAAGTTAAAAAATTTGCAAATGTTTTAAAAAAACATGGAATAAAAAAAGGTGATCGTGTTACAATTTATATGCCTATGGTAATTGAAGCGTGTATTGCATTACTTGCATGTGCACGTATTGGTGCAATACATTCAGTTGTATTTGGTGGTTTTAGTTCACATAGTGTAGCTGAACGTATATCTGATTGTAATGGAACAATTGTTATAACAAGTGATTTTGGTGTACGTGGTGGAAAATGTATACCATTAAAAAGTAAAATTGATCAAGCATTATTAATGCCAGAATGTAATACTGTTAAAACTGTAATTGTTTTTCAACGATATTATGGTATGGAAAATTTAAAAGATGATTGTGTAGAACGACGTAAAACACTTGAATGGGTAAATGGAAGAGATTTTTGGGCACATGAAGAATTAGAAACAGTTAATGATATTTGTGAACCTGAACAAATGAATGCAGAAGATCCATTATTTATTGTATGTTCAAAAACAAAAACAAAAATTATTGATATAGATTAATCTATTTATTTTAGCTTTATACAAGTGGTTCAACAGGAAAACCAAAAGGAATTTTACATACAACTGGTGGTTATTTAACATATGTAAATTTAACATTTAAATATGTTTTTGCTTATAATCCAGGTGAAATATATATGTGTAGTGCTGATGTTGGATGGATTACAGGTCATTCATGTAAATTACAAACGTCTTTCTTTTTTTTTTGTAATGAAAATTTTAAAATAATACTTTTCATAATAGATGTGGTTTATGGACCATTAGCTAATCAAGCAACAACTGTGGTTTTTGAAGGTATTCCAACATATCCTGATGTATCACGTTTTTGGAATATTATTGATAAACATCAAATAAATATATTTTATACAGCACCAACAGCTATTCGTTCATTAATGGCACATAATGATTCATATGTTACAAAAACAAATCGTCAATCATTAAGACTTTTAGGTACAGTTGGTGAACCCATTAATCCAGAAGCATGGAGATGGTATTGTAATGTTGTTGGTAATGGTCGATGTCCAATTGTTGATACATGGTGGCAGGTAAATGTGGTTTTTTTTTAAATTTTTTATTATTAAAGGCATATCCACCCTCCCCTTTTTCAGGTTTGTCAAGAACGACTCAACTAAAAATGATGAAACTCTCTGGATAGATAGATTTCGACTAGTAGAATAAAAGTTATCATAAACTCAGAATTCTCAAGATAGAGAATACAAGTGCCTAGAATGACTTGAAGTTTTCTCTCTGCAAACAATCAGAATTCACATTAAGATTTTTATTTTTTTTTTTAATGCATAGCGATTAATTAATGTACTTGTAAAGCAACTAGAAAGCATGAATCATTGACCCATACAACATATTTTGATGATGAAATAACTATACTAGTATAGGTCATTTGCAACATGAAAGAATCATAGAACGTGATTTTTTGTATCGAAAATCTAAATAACAATGAAAACTTTTCGTTCGTATGCCTTTCGATAGAGAACACTTAAATGTCTTTTCAGCTGCAAACATATCGAAAAAAGGGGGATGCCCTTAAGCAATATACGAGTCGTCATTGCAGACAAAATGAGACATACATATTCGTCTTTCAATTGATTTTGATTCTTAACAAGGATTATTTTTCTGAACAAGTTCTTTTAATTTAGACATATGAAAAAATGTTGCCTATGAATTAAAATTAATTAATTGAGAAGTAACTGATTAATTATAAGTAAATAAGACAATATTTCTCTAACTTCAAGATAGACTCTACAACATGAATCGCATCTATGCTGAAAATTTCGGTAAGATCAGACTCGAAAAAAAATGTTCTCTTAAAAACAGATTTTCTAGAGATTCTATCTAGTCTCGAAACAAAATCATCATCTAGACATTCTCAAGAACGATTTGTACTGTTTGAAACAGATTTTGAATTTCTCATTCTACTGTAAGAGCTTTTTTTCGTTTTGCATATCCATATTTCGTCGCATCACTAACGAAAATTCGAAGTTTTTTTTTTCAAACTAAAATACATCAAGTAAAAGTCAATATTTTTTTTTATGCCACGCCGGTAACAAATAATTTTGCCCTATATATATATATATATGTATATGATTGTTTCTTAGACTGAAACTGGTGGATTTATGATAACACCTATTCCAAATGCTTGGGAATTAGAAGCTGGCTCAGCAACACTTCCATTTTTTGGCATTCAAACTCAAATATTCGATGAAAAAACACGAAAACCATTAGAAATACCAGATCGAGGTGAATTATGTATTCGAGATTCTTGGCCTGGTCAAGCACGTAGTCTTTATGGTAATCATAAACGTTTTATTGATGTTTATTTTAAACCATATCCTGGTTATTATTTTTCTGGTGATGGATGTGAAATTAAAAAAAATGGTTATCATTGGATCACGGGTCGTGTGGTTCGTAAACAAAAAAAAAAAAACAACAAATTCTTGTTAAATCATTATTTTATTCTCTAGGATGATGTTCTTGTTATATCAGGACATAATATTGGTACAGCTGAAGTTGAATCTGCTCTTGTTCAACATGTTGCTGTAGCTGAAGCAGCTGTTGTTGGTTATCCTGATCCAATAAAAAATCAAGGAATGTATTGTTTTGTTACATTAAAAGATAATGTTCTAGAATCGGATGAACTTCGTAAAGAACTTATTAAAACTGTACGTGATGTTATTGGTGCACATGTTCATCCTGATATAATACATTTTGCACCGAATTTACCTAAAACTCGTAGTGGAAAAATTATGCGACGTATTTTACGTAAAATTGTTGAACCAGATATTCATAATTTAGGTGATACATCAACATTAAATGATCCAACTGTTGTTGACGAATTAATAAGAACATCTCCACGAACAAAACTTACATAGAAAAAAAAAATATATATATTAACAATGTACTTCAATATAATTCGTTATCTTTTTCTTTCTTTTTTTTTTTTATATTAGACTTGAACTGGTTCATTTTCTTTTTTTTCTATCATTTTAAAATCAATTATATTTACATATCATATTTCGATGTATATTCCTCATCTGGGTATGTGGTTATTATTCATTATTGTCAATTGAACAAGAAAGAAAAAAAAAAACAAAATATATTGTCTCTCTCGTATTAGAATTTATTTTAATTATTTAAATAATGAATTGAAGTTTTTTAAACGAAAAAAATACGTTGAGCAGATACAATATGACCACGACAAATAGGACATTGATTTTGAATTTTCTTAATACATGTTGAACAACAACAAAAATGATAACATGGAAGTATTAAATAGGATTTTTCAGCTGATAAACAGATAACACATTCTAATTTTTTTCGTAATTCTTCATGATTTTTTTTATTTATATCATCATCATCTTGATTTAAAATGCCTTTATATAATTGTTCTGAATTAATTGAATTTTCAGATGTTGATAAAAAAGTTAAACGACGTAAAATT